CCCCGCCCCCCCCCCCCCCCCCCCCCCCCCCCCCCCCCCCCCCCCCCCCCCCCCCCCCCCCCCCCCCCCCCCCCCCCCCCCCCCCCCCCCCCCCCGCTGGTCTTTTTCGGTTTGGCCACACGGTTTGATATCTAGATACGGAAACGAAGACGGAGGCCGCAAACGGGCAACACTTGTACAGCTAGGTCAAGGAACGGAAGTCTATCTATCTGGTTAGGCACAGCTCCGGATGTCCAAGATGCCGAAACCAGTATTTTTTCCCGTCTCCATTTCTTTTTGTCAGCTCTTGCTCCTCTAGAAGCCGGAAAGTTGCTGGGGAGTCGGGTTAAAGGTTGAGTGGTGAAATGAAAGGATTGAGTGGATTGAAAAGGTCAAGATGGTGGAAAAAGTTTGATAAAGGTCCCCAGACCGGAGCAAACGCTCCGGCGAATAGTTACTGTACCGTTGGTAGCCCTTGGACCCCTGGACCCCTGGACCCTTGAACCCTTGGGGAGCGCTTCTTTTCCTAGGTTATTTGGCGGGAGGTTTTGAGGAGGGGGGACTTGAGATTGGAGGGGTTGATAGACTGAGAGCTTTGCCTCAAGAGCCCAGAGAATTGTCGGGCGGTACGGAAGAGCGAGGGAAGAGCAGGGAAACCGGAGGGCCACAAGACGGGAATGGCTCGGGGAAGAAAATGTGGGTTAGAGGGGGAAAACAGGGCAGAGGTTGAAGGCAAGCCCTACGAGTGGACGGGAAGTAAATCCGAAGGAGACTGTGAGTGGGCAGGTGCGGCAGTTGTCGGAAATCTGGACAAGGGGGGAATAATGTCGTAGGGAGCAAGACGTGCGAGTGTGAAGGGTGTCACAAAGGACGGGGAAAGTGGCGGGATGGGGAGTGACGGGATGAGCAGGGGGACCTTCTGAAAAGAAACCATTTGGATGGTGGGGAGAGATAGATTTGGGGTTAGGAAAACTGGGGAGAATATAGCGGGAAGAAGCGTGGAGAGGACGAACCTTGGGGAGGGGGGGGGGGGGCATACAAACCTTGGAGCGGATCGGGTGCCGAGATGGAGGAAACAGAGACTTTGGGATTATGACAGAACTGTGGATAGGCAATCCAGCGCGCCGAAGGGACGAAGGGTCAGGTCAGGTATCGATGCCAAGGGCCTGAAAAGAGACGCTGGATGGGATGGTGTGTTGGGGCGTGGTTATGACGGATGGGGATTTCGAGGAAATGGTTGGGAGGATGGAGTACGATGCTGGGGGTCTGGTTGGTTAAGGAGCAGATGTTGATAGGACTTGGCTCGGGGAAGGGACATGGTTAGGGACTGATGCCCGTGCAGGTAGGTTGGAAATTTGGATGGGGAGAGGCAGGAGGAGTTTGGGTACGAAGGATGGAAGTACCTCCTCCGAAGAGGTAATTCGTCTGTGTGCCTGACATTACAGGCCGTGTATTGATGGGCAGTGGCTTGGTATGTGAGGTTCTCCTACCTACCTGGTACTGTGGATAGGTGTCGTCTCTCCAATTGACGGTGTGCTCTCTGTATGTTTGTGAAGAGCATGTGCTGTATCTGGAGTAGATGAGGTGGCTCAACGAGTTCAGGGCATCGGTGATTGGTAAGCATACACACCGAAGGGGAGGTCCCGTGGATGACGGGCTTCCGTCTGTCTCGACAATGGATGGTGGCTCCATGTTAAGTGCAAGACTTCAAAAAGAGTGATAGAGTTAAGCCATTATCAAGTCACGAAGTGCCTGGCATGACTGTGGCGAGTGCTGTGGCGAGTGAAAGCAAGCTGTACTAAATAGGCAATGATAGCTACGGGTCGTGACGGGGAAGGAGCAAATGTAACGGAGAACGAAAGAGTGCCAGTGTCCTGTGGCTCTGTGGAAATTCAGGATGCAAAACATCAGAAGGTTAGTTGATCCTTTTGGCCAAGATGAAAACGGTTTTTGATCGGCAGTTGTTAGGTTGATGTAAACAGTGGTTCGAGTGGCTCGGATTTTTTTGCTCCGCGACAGTATCCAGCCTCTTGGGTCCTCTGAGGAGCTCTCACTACGATCTTCTTCTGCGTTACAACATTATCTAATGATTGTTGGTCCATACGCCTGTCGTAGTCATCATGTGCAATACAAACAATAGGACGGGCACCATGACCGACCAACTCGTCCTTTGATCGTCATCATCCTTTAGCATATTATTAACTAATGAATTTCAACTGAGAACCAATCCCAATGAGAGATTGTTCAGTGATCATTAACTGGTCTCAACGAAGAGCTAGAAACTGTCACATTCGCCGGGATGACATCCTGCATATCTCATTCTTCACCCTACGTGTATACTAGCGGCATATTGCAGAACTCATTGAGATACAGGCAATGACAAACCGATCAGGTGCTTAGAATCGCCCTCCCATTACCGGCATCTACACAATTCCACCCTCGCGAAGTGGCAATAGACTAACGAAGCAGTATCGAGCTGCAATTGACAGAATAGCCGAGTTGATATAAAAAGAAACATAGAAACTCTATGTAATTCCTTAAATGTTCAAAGTTCCGTGGCTGATACACCAAGGTCAGTCCAACGTTCATCGAATGAATGAATGGCTGTGCCCGTGGCGAAACTCCCTCTGTGGCAAAATGTCATTCCTGTCACGGCCATAAACCCATTCCCTGGAACCCATCACAACAACAAGTGAAAGCGGGTTTAGCTCAGTTGGGAGAGCGTCAGACTGAAGTTCAAACTTCAGTAAACATAAAATCTGAAGGTCGTGTGTTCGATCCACACAAACCGCATATCTTTTCTTTACTTTTTGCGCCTTCAGCCCTTGTAGGGCTGAAGGGTTCAGTCCCCGGATTTCTCCCTTTTTACCCGCTGGCTCGGCATCCGGATAGTGAGGGCAGCGGTCTGTCTTCCCCACAAAATCAAGGCTCCCAAAGCCATGTACGTGCCCTTGTCTTGTCCCGAGAGAGTCATATTGACGACGGCTAAACAAGGCATTATGTAAACAGCGCACAACGTCATCGGACATGTAGAGTGGACTCTGGGGACAGGCTTGGGTTGGGTTGTATTTGATTCAGGGCGAGCTGTTGAACGGCAGCAAGCCCTGAAGTTTTTTTCTTATTTTTGGTATTAGGTGCCCTGTCTGCTTTGAGATGGTTGAGGCCTCTAGATAGGGAGTCACCCATATGCCATATGCCTCTTGAACCCCCTGATATGATGTACCTATCCCATAGATGGTGAGTAGGGGTGTATGTATCCCCCAGTCATCCAATGAATGAGATGCCTCATTCATATGGACCTCCATCAACCGACGACAGCCAGCCTTCAGCTCTGAAGCATTCTCTCTCCTGATGCCAAGACTCACGATCTCGATCTGTATCATCCAGACCAGCCCAACCCCAGGTCGTGGCCCTCTTCTTATCACCTCCAGACTCCATCCGACTTCCCCCCCACAAAATCAATATCATTTTCTCTGTGTTGTGAGATGGTGTCCAGAATTCACATCTGCCCCAATGCTCGCCACTAATAATCCGGTGCCTTGGTATCCCGTCGAGAGCGAGTGGTCGAGCATTCAGACCAATGTCCTTCCCATAAGTTCAACAAGAGCCAAAGCAACCCTAGTGCCGCTCCATCCTAATGATCACGTCTTGCTTTCCATGCCTCGTCGTCCGGACAAAGATAAAAAAGCCCTAATTGATCTCCACCAAAAGCTCCAGGTGCATGTGTAAAACGAGTGGAGCTCATGCCCGGCCACTCTCCGCATTTTGTCCTGTTGTCCATGCATTGCCAGCGTAACCCCTTACACCGACCTCCGTCCCGCCCAACCCCCCGGCTCGCCGGCGCCGGCACTACCCACCGGTTATGTGTCAAGTTTTGATGAATAGAAACAACAAGCAAAAATAAGAAGAATTAAATATGTGTAAGACATACGGCCAAGAATCAGAAAGTGAAAGAGTAGAAAAAGCAGGCAGCGGAAGATCAAGGGCATGGTAAAAGCTCAAGTCACCCGGTCAGGTCATTTTTTCTTGTGATAACTTCCATTCGTAAAAAGATTCGACCGAGCGCGCGAGGGACTAAGTGGTACCCAAGGGCTCAAGGTCTTCCTGCTTGTGCATGATTTCCCCTCCAAAAATGCGAAGAGAACAGCCAAAACGACGTTCCTCCAAATCATTACAATAGCGGTAAAAGGTATATAGAGAAGCCCACAAAAAAAGCCTAAAATCGTGTCGGGAAGTCCAAATGTTCTTCACCCGTGCGAGCACCGTGTGGTAGTGGTTGCGGATTCCGTCCCGGTACCGGTGAGCCGGATGTGGATACCCGGCTGCCCCGGACCCAAGCGGATCGTGCCGCCGGTGGATCCAGACGTAGTCCGTTGTCGGTCAAGCTCGAGGTCCAAGAATCCCAAAGTCGATAGCGGTGTTGATCGTGTCAATAACGAGCGGGTTCCCGCAGGGGTTGAAAAAAGTCGGTGTGTGTACCGTATGTGTGTTTGAGTTGAGATGTGATGTGTTGAGTTGTCCGCCCCTCCAAATAGAATGTTCCGGAACGCCTCATAGTGGTAGGCCGATAATTATGTACTGACGGGTCGAATCGAGCGAGATGTGTACCATTGTGTGGTCGAGTGAGAACATGCCCAGAAAGTTACACTTGCTGTAGTCTCACCCTACCCACAAGTCCGCCTTTCCGACCCAAAAAAAAGTGCGTCTGATGCAACCAGGCCCAAACAAGACTGAATAGAGATGTCCCAGCCTCCCTCGCCGAAATGCCAGAAAAAACTCCAGCAAACTAATGCCCCCATCAAATCTAGCGACCGCCGCTGTCAATCGCTAGTGTTCATGATAAGGATGGTAATGATGACCAGCCCCTTTGTTGAAAAACGCCGTGCCATGCAAAGAGAAAGTGTGCAATTAAACAGATCCAAGCTGAAGAAGGGCCTCCACAGCCTCGCGCTCCTGTGCATCCGAGGCCATGACCCCCAATGCTGATGCTGGTATTCCAAACTTGAGTTGCGGTGCTCGAGCCATGCCCCCGGAGAAGGAGCGGGCGCTCGAAGAATACATGTTGTTGAAAGGTGATAAGTGGTGGTTGTTGGGCTGGGCCTGGTAGGATGACGCGCGAAGCGCCGCCGCACCGACGGCTGCCCAGTCCTCATCGTCGGTTACGTCCTCGGGGTCGTTGCGATTCATCAGCTCGTCATCGTCAGGTGCCTCTGAGCACGACGCTGATCCAGAGCCGTCCAACGACATCTTATCTGCTTCATGGTCCATCATGTGCATGTACCGGTCCTCATTGAGCCGGTCGTCATGCGAAAAGGCTACCGACGAGGCGCCGCCAGCGCTCGTGCCGAGCATGGTTGCGAGTCGGGTTCGTTCGAAGCTCCATCCGGAGCCTTTGTTAATGGGAATGCCTGTTGGGTAGGCGCTGCCACCAGGAGACGTGTGACGCGACGGCGGCTTGAGAGACGCCATGGACTGGCCCCCTGCTGTCCGCTTCGCGTGCCAGCGTCCCCAGCCCACCTTCACAAACTCCACGTCACCATCCGGGCCGTGGCCCACACCTCCGCTTCCTTTTCCCTCCAATGCGCCGACGACCAGTCTCCGCTGTCTGGCAGGCGGGAGGCCCGCAAAACCTGGGACAGTGGTGGTAAGATACCCCATAATGTGGCGAATGGGCAACGGACCCTGACCCAGCAAGATGTCGGGCAGGTGGCAGTTCGCCAGCATTGCTGGAGTGATATCACCGGCCGTATCGAAACCGGGCGACCCAGGTCCGCTCAGGTGCTCGTCGTCGTGAGCATCATGGAGATCCAGATCCGAGTCGATGGGCTCCAGACGCGCCCTCTGCAGCTGAGCCTTGAGGCCGTGCGGAGGGAGATTGGGAGATAGAGAGTTTGGAGGAGTCGGGAGGTTGGTCGGATGGGTTGTCACAGGGACACTCCGAGCGGCCGCTACAGCAGTTAAGTTGTCTCGGCCGAAAGAGGAGGTCGTCGCGATATCGCGAGCAGCAGATGCCATGGTTGCCATATTGACGGTTGTTGAGGACGAGTTGCTTCGAGACTTTTCTGTAAATTGTCGCAACCGTGTGTTAGTTCTACTACTTGGTTTTGGTTTTGATATTCGGCCAGACACGGTGCGACAAGAAGGAGACGAGGGAGGTGATCGGCAGTGCTGCTGCTGCTTGTTGCTAATACCAGCCGCGATCGCCATGGACGGCTAAGGGTACGAGGTAGAAAGTGGATATTTTGGTGTTGATGTTGACCACACCCGGAGGTGAAGGTACAGATGGGGGAAATATATGGTAGGAAACCGAGTATATAAAAACTGAGTCACACAACTCACCAAGGTCCGAAGCAATAATTCGCGACAGTCTTCTGAATTGAATTTCAAAAGCCGCTAGCTGACCGTTTCAAAGACGAGGCTTTAAGTCGGGGCAGAAAGGCGGTGGGATGGCAAAGGATGGGGGCAGATGCTACTGCTTCTGCTGCTGCTGCTGGCGATGATCTTCTGTGACAAGAGATTTGACTCTCTCGTAAGGCAAGTCAAAGTAGTTTCGTTGGTCTCGTTGTTGTTGCTTTGGAGAGACCAAAGAAAGAAGAAAGGAGAGGTCGGCCGGAATCATGGTAGGCCATGGCTGCTAATATAAACCATGCTCTCTCACTGCAGTGCAGTCAGTCAGTCGGCCAAGGCAGTGTACGAAGTACCTTGGTAGGTACCGAGCGCAGCACCCAAGCAACACAGGGCAGGGCACCACATCTTCTCGCTGACGGCTCGCTGCTGCTAATGATTCACGGGGGGGAAGAGGAACCATCCCATGAGACCAGGGTAGGGTAGGGAGGGTACTTGGCCTCATGGGGTATGTGTGGTGTGTGGCAGCTGCAAAAGGGCAAGCGTTGGCCCTTGCTTCGTCTCCTTTGTCATGGGTGTGCACACAGAAAGCCATGGCGAAAGAAAAAGGTGTGTGTCAAGAGCAGCCAGTAAAATTGTACCGTGCCGCTCACTGCCCAGTGATAATAATACCCGACACCTTCCAATCGATGAGAGATTGAGTCACCTGGGAGACAGACAGGATCATGGAAGACCTCATTCTGCTTTTGTGTCCTCTATTCCAAATATCGTTGTATAATTGCGATTATCAGCCTCCCCACCGAGAATCTCCATCGATTTCCGCCCACAAACTTTTAGGGTTTGCATGATAAGGGGGAGAAATCATCAAACCACCGACTGCTGATAATCGCTCTGCCCTCTTACACGATAATAAATGACCAGCAACGGTGGATCCCTCAGTGCCTCCATTTTTGGCGTTGCCCGTTGATGATTTCCATTGATTTGCAAATTGTGGGTTTGGGACAGGTTTGGTTTGTGTAAGTGCACAGTGCGAAGCAACCTCTCTCTCTCTCTCTCTCCCTCTGCTTGTGCAGTGGGTGAAAGCGGCGGTCGCATTCCAAAGCCCCAAAATCCCAGTTCCTTGGAAACAATCTTCAGTTGAATGTGAGCTTTGTCACTTTGTCCTGATGACGATGATGGGGGGCGTGTGTGGTGTATGGTGTGCGTTTCGGAAGTATCCTTCTCTATCTATCTGGCCATTCATCATCTGGTCTCTTTGTCCAATAACATGGCCTCGTGGTCTGCTTCTTCACTTTCGTTAGGCTTCTTTTGCCCTTTGAGAGAAGAGATGGCAACAATCAATGCAGTGCACCAACATCACAGACACACACAAGCGGGCAAATTGGTCTGATGTGTGTTCATCCAGACCCAGCACCCAATTGGAGGTTGGACCCTGGCCCATGTGGTCC